AGTGTCGAGAATTTTAAAGAGGCATATGTAAACCTCATTTCACGAACCGGAACACTGTAACAATTCAGGGTCAATAAAGAAGATCACATCGCTGTTCTATAAATACAAAATTGGGTAAACAGTGATCCCAGCGATGCATAGAATAATAAAAGACCATCAGAACGATATAAGGTATTGTTACATTGTTAAATGTCGGGAACTTTCAAGTAGCCTGTAAACCTCATTCCACGTACCGGAATTCCAAAATATTTCAGGCTCGATAAATAATATTAGATAATAGTTCAGTACAAAAGAATAGTGTCGGTTGTGATATACGCAATGCGTAGAATGATTTGAGACCATCAGGTCGGGATAATATATTGACAGAATGAATGTTGAGCATTTCGATTTGTCATACGTAAACCCCGTACCGCAGAACATAATATTTCAGGGTCGATATACAGTATTATATCGTTGTTGTAATGCTTGTAGTGTTCCCCGATGTATGTAGAATAAAATAAGGTCATCAGATCGAGATATACTGATACGTTTGTCAGAAGTTTACATGCAGCATATTTAAATCTCATTCTACGTAGCGATACTTGCAGAAGACACTCAAAATTTCCGACATTCATTCTGTCAATATATCATATCGATTTTATGGTATTATATTATTCTACGCAGTGCGAGCATCACGATGAATACCATTTTTTTGTATAGAAGTAACGTCTAATATTATTCATCGTACTACGTATATCCTGTATATATCGATGTGTGATATCTATTTATGATTCTTCAAAGTTTCATACTGTCACAAATCAATATATTACCACGATCTGATAGTCTTAGATTATTCTAGGCTTCGGAGGGTAAATAAGAACGAAATGTTCTCCAGTGCGATATGGGGCTTACTTATGAATTGAAAATATTAGATATTCGTTCTGTTAATATATCATATCGACTTTAAGATACTGTATTACTACAGTACCGTAGCAACGAAGCGATCTCGATAAACAAAATCTTTTCTATACAGTCATTATCTAATATTATTTATCAATCCTGAAATATTCCGGAGTTCGAGTCCGAGATGTGATGTTCACATATGTTCCTTCAAAGCTTTATACATTAATTGTATCAATATTCTGTATTGATTTGACGGTCTTATACTATTTTACACATCGGAGGTTTGGCTAGCATCGCACTTTCTAGTGTCATTTATCGAACCTGAAATAGTCGTACTGATTCTTCTCCAGTCGGGACATACTTTTTGCTATTTCTCAAGTTTGTCACAACATTTGCACTTAGCCAGTCGTGTCACTTTAAACGTGACCAATCATGTGACTTCTGTTCCAGCCTTGCCATCCTTAATACACATGCACAGACGTGTATCTATTTTTACTCCTCCCAAGTCAAGTACTGCACTTTTACTCCTGCCATATCATATTACTCTCTTTACACTTGTATAGACATAACACTTCTGCTACAGTCAACTCAGGCTCTTACTCTTGCCGAATCATGTAAATTTTTACTCTTGCCCAGCCGTGTCACAGTTTTACTCGTGTCCTTGAGTATCAATAATTTTACTCTTGCCCAGATATGTCACTAATGCCCAGTCGTGTCACATTTGCACCACGCATGTCACAATATTTACTATTGACCTGTCATGTACCTCTTTCTATCTTTGCCAAGTCATGTTACTTTTCTAGACGTGTCACCCTCTCTGATCTTGACCAATCGTGTAACACTCCTTAAACTTGCTTAGTGGTCTTCCTTAGCCTTGTCACGATTTTAACACTTGACCAATCACTATTTTTAATCCTGCCCAGAGAAATAACTATTCTTAATCTTTACCTAGTCATGTTTCTTCTACACACTCATGCCACTCTTTTTACTCTTAGGAAGATGCGTCTCAATTTTTACTCCTGTCCAGTAGTGTCACACGTTTTACTTCTGCCTTGTCACTACTCCTCCAGTCATGTCACTTTCTTTATTCCAGCCCAGTTGTGTAGCTTCTGTCCCAGTATTTTTACACCTGAGCAGTTATGTTACTTATTATCCAGTCATGTCACTACTTTATAAATCTGCATTGTCATGTCACTTCTGCTCCAGTTTTATCAGTCCATTGTTCTTGCCCTGTCGTTTCAATCTCTTTGCACTGGCACCGTCATGTCACTTCCGCCTGAGATATATCAATCTTCATGCCAGTCGTGTTACTCTGTTTACTCTTGCCTATGCATGTAACTTCTATTGCCACTGCGCAGTCATGGCACCTCAGATCTAGTCACGTCTCCCGTTATGCAATGGCCCAATCTTGTCACTCTACTTACTGTTGTCCAATCGAATCACTTCTGCTCCTGGCGTTTCTATCTTGTCACGGTCTTGTCACTTCGACAACAGCCATGTCACTCGTTTTACACTTTCCAGTCATGTCACACTTGTACAGTCGTGTCACTTTACTCTTTACTCTTTACTCTTTACTCTTTACTCTTTACTCTTGATACTACTGCTCAGTTATATCAAACTTATCCATTAATGTCACGCATTTAAGTTTTTTCCAGTCGTGTCACACATTTCACACTTGCACAGTCATGTCACACATGCCCAAACGTGTCTCTCTTTATACTCCAGCCCCCTCATGTTACTTTTTTCACACATGCCCAATATTGTCTCCCTTGCCCAGTCATGTCACTCTTTCTCCTATTACCCAGTTTGGTCACACTTCTCTAAATTTGTCACCTAATTCAAGTTTGCTCAGACCTGTCACTCTTTTCACTATTGCGCAGTTGTCACGATTCAAACGCGTAATGTCATGGTTTAAACGCAAAATAATAAGACTGAACGTGGTTTTAATTTTATTTAATAGCTCTCGTTGACTGCTCAGTCGTAACTGATGTCATTACAATGCCTGAGCTGCACAAATCAGGCACCCAACGCCGATGACTAATTGTGTGGTAACGTAAGCAAAGGAAATATTTAAGGATGATCCTCACATTCCCCTCTTCTTAGACTTTGCTTCCCGAAGCGAAAACGATGGGATCGCTTTGGTCCTAGGAAGCTGATGGGTTGATGTATTATCGTAAGCATATCGAACTTCTGGGATTGTATCTGAGCATAGTCAGGTGTATGGCATGATGGGGTAGACATCAATGGTACTATTCATGTTTGAGCAATTCTTACAGCAGATTAATAAACCAGTGCATTTACTTCTTTTATATAAACCGTAAAGCGTTGATCCCACAGCTATATATCCCAATATTTTAAGTATCGACAATACCGTCTCCACTGCCGTGCGAGTACTATGTTGGCATTCAAGCGATGTTAACAGGTCGGAATATTTTTCTGACGGTTCTGAGTATTATTTTAAGTTTTAATACAATTAAGTTTTAATACAATTGGTATTTCAAATGTTCTTGTAACAATGCTATTTGTTCCTCCGACATATTTACATTTACATTGATCAATTTCATTTCCCATATTAAATTTGATTTTCTTGGACTAATTTTCATTACTGAATTTGGTGTTTGTATAACGCAGTCGGTGCTGGCTTCTATCAAATGTGCTGAACTAATTGTTTCTATAAGATGTGTTTTACAATTTATGTCGGGTGTGGTTTCTTGTCGCGGTATTACAATATACTTTTCGGATGTAAGCGGAATATAAGTAATTGATTCAATTTTGAAAGGTACTCGTCCACAATGGTTATGCAGGTTCTTAATTACTTCAGCTTCGCAAGTGTTCCCGGTGAGAATTGTTGTGTTCGGTCTGATTCGTACATATAAGGATTAGCTTGCCTAATTTACAATGTTTTTCTATATATTCTTGGTCCATTCCAAGTATTCGTACATTGTTTGAAGCGTTAGAGTTTTTCGGATGTTAATTGCGCTGAATATCGTGCCAGTTTTTTAAGGTATCGGATAGTATTTTCGTAATTTCCACTATGTAGAATCGGTATATCTGTTACAGATATACTCTATCTTAGTCCCTCTAAGGTTAATTTTTATATCGCTAATGTCATAAATTAGTTGAACGTTTTCCTCCATTAGTTCAAAGGCACTGTATGTTTTACTTTCCTTTATTAATTTTGTATAGACCAGTAAAAATTGCTGGTTAGTTAGGATATCCGGGTGAATGATGTATTTTCCTTGTTTTCCTATAAATATTGCATGTTATTGTGGTATCTACTTGTTCAATAATTTCGTACATGAGTGATTCTAAACTAATTATACTGAGTGTGAAATCCTCTGCTTCTATAATTTTTCTAGATACTCGTTCTTCTACACTCGAGAGTTTTAAGAGATTTTTTATCATTAGTGCTTGATTCCTTACTATCTGTATAATTCTGTTGATTGTCGAAAAGTTTGTCAATGATTTGATTGATTAATTCTAGGTCGCTATCTTCTAATGTGCCAAATAAGGTTTTAGAAACGCTTCCTACAAAATTAAATAGTCCTATCTTTACACTGAGATGCATCAAGTTCTTATAATTTATAAATTTATTCTCCAATGTGTTAATTTTAACTTTTAACACGTTAATTTCCGGACATTCTCCACAATTGCTTTGTTCACATAGTCGATTTA